ATCTAAATATCAATACTCAATATATAAATACATACTTTAAGATATGTATCTAGATGAGATTTACATAAATAATGGTAAACATAACTGTGTCCTCATTTTCAGCCAGAAGGGGGCCCAATAATTTAGTTTTGACAGAGTTACATTACTGTAGTGATGTTCAGGACACTGCTGTTTGTGGTGCTGTTGTTGAAACTTTGAATATCGGTCAAAACAAAATTCAGATGAAAGTGAGAGAAAACAAAATCCTATTTACTAAAAAGGGAATTATTCGTTTTTTACTAAAAACGGTCATAAATGAATTGTTATGTCACTTCACATTGTCATCATTCTCATTGGCTATGTATTCTTAGATAAGAGGTGATATGTTGGGCTGAGGACAGCCACATTAATCCCATCACACCATGTTGATCACTATCTCATATATTAAAGTCATTACCTTTTTTATGTACAAAGTGCTTTCAACAGTGTGTATTCCTTTCAAGAGACAACACTTTCAAATAACAGGAAAAAAAGATTCAGACTCATACATCAATTAAGGCTTCATCAGCGACTTATCACTCATTCCTGTGGAGCAAAGACAAAAGGGCCGAGGGGGGTTTGCTTTAATAAAAAACATCCTCCTCAGAGTTCAGTAACAAACTGAACCAGGCAGATGAATCAAAGAGCTCCTCCTCTTAAAAACACTGGGTCGTGTTACTTTAAGGCTTGAAGGGAACACTGAAGGTCCAGCTGTGTTTCAGCTGAGGAATGCCAGAACTGCACCACTACCAAGTTGGAATGCTACATAAAAATATACATCTAATGTGGAAACCACGAGCAATTACCAAACTTATGGCCGTCATGACCACAGCAGCCGAGCAGCAGAGCTGACCTCTCTTTTGGCACAAGGTGGGGACAGTACTGTAAGTAACGCAGTTTTTGAAAACCCCCTTTCAACTGAGATGAATATGATTGGTCAAACATATTTTAAGAAAACAATTGGGAAAACACAGCATGTAACTAATAAGAAAATAGAGCACATCCTCTGAGTCCTACAGAAACATTGTCTCTTGATCAGGAATAAGGATAGATGCAATATGTCTGAGTGACAAAGACAAGCTATATCAAGTTATAGTCTTCTATAATCCCAGTTTTGTGCATTTATGTCTAGAACTGTGGGATCTGCTCCAAAATGTGTGACACCTTGTGTGCACAGACCCGATCTTCCAGGAAACAAGACAAAAACATAACAGTAACACACATGGAAAATCATTTGGGTGCGTTTGAGAGGTGAGCTAAAAGATTTGAAATGAAAACTGTAAATGTCAGTGGGTCACAGGGATGTTTAGAAATGTAAAAGTGAAGAAGCCTCCAAAGTTTGGATTTATACTAAGTACCATTGAAAATATTTCATAATCTGCAATACATACAAATATTGTATGTATCCTTCATATTGTAACGATACAGTGGAATATTTTAGTTTTGTGCCTCAACTGGTTTGTTCAAATGAAAGAAATTGAATGAGATGAAACATTATATGGACACTATTACAGGGACAACATTTAAACACTCATCTTTTAAAGACTAAGAGTGGACATCTAACAGGTTGAAAAAGCTATTTTGATTTACCTTAATCTATATTTATATATGTTTGTATTTATCTTTTGGTATTCTTCAAATATTACATATGTTATTATTCTATATCCTTCTTTCCTTTGTCTGGTGTTTGGTTTTCGAATGTTTAAATTCAATAAACTTTAAGTCTTTTTTGAAGATGACCATGTGATCATGCACAGTCAGAGATTATACTGATAAAAGGATTTTTGAATCCTACGACACATCAGCTCAGTAGAGTTGAATAACTTTTATATTATAATTGACAGTTTTCAAAAATACATTGCTCTCAATGGAAATGCCTTTCAATCTCAGTGTCAGCAGCTCAAGCACACTACATCACCTAGAGGCCAATTGTGAGTGTGTATAATTAAATTATCATATATAGGAGATTTTATATCTATATTGTGTGGGGTTATTAAAAATAAAACATGACTACAATGGTTCTGGCCATGTAAATGCAGTTATTTTGTCTTTTTATCCAATGAGCCTTTCAAGCATTTATACTGTCTGTTCCCTTTGTAAGCCACAGGAAGAGGAGGAGAGCGAAAGCTGTGCCAGCGCTGGTCTCTTGGAGACACGGTCTGTCCTTAACTAAGAAGCTCACATCCCTAAACACAGCCTGGACGTGGGGGAGCTCTAGGCTGGATCGTAGGCACTTCTTCAAGTTTCAGTCACAGGGCTTTTCTCCAGGACCTGAGAGACCACAGAGTCCCCGGAGAGGAGATTTGACCTCACTGAACACCATCATCCCGTACACACCCTCCAGATTGCTTGATCTTCCAAGTAAAGGGAAATGTTGCTGACATGTTTAGACACACGAGGTATCTCATGTCAGGTCAGGTTTGTTTTACTCTGGTAACCTGCAATCCTTTTCACAACATCGTGTTATGAAGTAGAAACGTGATTACCCCTGTTTTCTTGGATACTCAGTAGTAGCCTATGACCTCGACTTAATGGTACCACATCACGGATGACGACTGTCAAGGTCCAACAGGGTTTTCTTGTCCTCACAATGGATCTGAATGGCAACTTGAATTGGAATATCCCACACGTGTGAGAAATATCTCTTCTTCTTTCCTGGAATGGCACGTTCACAGAACTGCAGCCACAGGCTGCTCTGCTGTGTCCCCCCCTAGAGGGCAGTATCGTAGACTTCCTGCTGTAGAAAGGAAGCTGGGCCTGGACCTGGAACCAGGTTGGAGGGAAAAGCAGGAGGGTGTGGATGATCCCAAACGGGCTCTTTGAAGGAGGGTATTATGGAGGGTGCGGAGGAGCCTGAGACTAGAGGGTTCTGGCCTCTTAACTGCTCCCTGACTTCCTGCTCCAGACTTGGTGGAACAATAAGCTGATCCTCTGGGTCCTGCTGGGCTGGGGCAGTGAAGTAACCAGACTTTTTCTTTGGAGCCTCCAGGGCCACTTCAATAAGATTGTGACTGTCCTCAGGAGCCACCACCGAGCCATTGGACAACTTCTTCCCAAACAAGCTGCACGTGGAAGGAGATTTCTTAAGGTCAGCGATCTCTCTCCCACATACAGCCAGCAGGCAGCCATTTGTGGCAGAAACCACCACGCTGTTCTGTCTACGCATTTTACCATTGGGGTAGTCAGAGTTACGCTTTTCAAGGTCAAAGTCTTTGGAGCTCTCGGTGGACCCTGACCGTAGCTGGAAAGCACAGCAGTGAATGTCCACCTCTACTTCTAACTTGCTGCCATTGGAGATGACTCCCTCAAGCGGAGCTTCATCGTCACTGTCCAAGCCGTTGTCGGACTGGTTACTCGAGAACGTAGCGCAGGAGGGTTGACGCTGGAATAGACCCGGGTGGGTTGCTGAACCACCTGAGCCTGGCACCATGATCCCACACAGCGTAGTAGCAGGGTGAAGGCTACACCGTCTCTCTGGGCGGGGTGCAGGCCCAGATGATTGGTGCTCGTCTGAAGCGGTGGACCCCGCCTCACTGCCCACCTCTGAGGCTGATGTCTCACTGTTGAACTCAGAGACTAAACCACTGCTCGATGAAAGCATGGCTGGGTCACTGGGGCCTGGGGTCACGGTTACAGGCGCAGGGGCAGGAGGGGGACCGCGGTCGGTGGTGGAGACTTGTGGCTCACAGGTGCAGCTGTCCTCGCCGATATGCAGCGACACCACCACTGCCCCGATGTTGTCCTTACAGCCGTAACTCTGGGCGAGCGAACACAGCTTCTTTGCAGCAGCACGTGGATCTCGCACAGCCTGCACGGTGCACACAGCCTCCTGGTAGGAGACCCATTCAAACAGAGCTCGATTACCCAGGATCAAGAACTCATCCTGGGAACAGAGCGGCTCAGTGTGCACCCACGGCTTTGGAAGCACCCAGGGAGACAGGTAAGAGCAGCCCAGCAGGCGAGAGCAGCATGTCACTCCACTCACTTTGTTATCCTAGAAAACAGGAAGTGCAATTAGAATTGTGAATCAATGTAAAGCTCCATAATACAGTCTGCTGTCAGACTCTACAACACCATCTGGAATGAAAAATGAAATACTTTTTCTCATGTCACTCTACTTATCATTACTTCACTATTTCTAATGGAAAAGGGCATTTTACACATTAGTGTCGTCTGCACATCACCTGTATCTTTCTATCGTATATATACCTTTCTATTTATACAGTACTATACTGCATGCTATTGTATATCATATACAATAGTAAATATATATTTTCTATACCTGTAATCTATAAAATGAACTGTTTTTGTTCACATTGCTGAATTTATATCTATGTATATAAATACATTTATATGTACATAGAATAGTTTATAATTTTTGTATACCATATCTGCCTAAATATGTAGAAACGGTCTAATCTGGACATATATGGACACTATCCCAATATCTCCTTATACTTATGAACAAATATAGTTTTAGATTCTGGTGCAATCATCCTGTGCCACTGCACTTTACTCAGTTACATATTCTGCATTTAATATTTAATTTCTATTTTTACTCTATAGCCTTTTTACATTTGTATTCTCTTGTCTACCTCATTCTGACTTGACTGCTGCTGTAACAAGTGAATTTCTCCAGTATGTGGATCAATAAAGTTTTTATCTTATCTTCTCTTACATGTACCTCAGAATATGAAGCTACACATTAGCATAAGATCAAACGTTCTAATGGCTCTAATGTAAACATACAAACATATGAGCTGTTCATTACCTCGGTAATTATGGCTTTACTCCGTTTAACTCTCTCCATCTCCTCAGTGCAGTTCTCCAAACTGTAAACCTTAGAGAGAGGTACCGGTCGGCCGTTCCGACACAGCACTGCCTGGCAGGTGCCCACGTTGGCCACAGTAAGGCTGAGGTAGCCTCCCGGATCTGAAGGCTTATGGTGGATGTAACACAACAAGGCAGAAGCACCCAGTTTCTGTCCAGCCATTCCTAGTTTCCTGTCCCATTCCAAGAGAAACAAACTCTTAAAGTCACCAGGAACAGCTAAACACAGCAGTGACTCCAGTTTCTTGGTCCAAAAATTTCAAATTCAAAAAGTCTGTCTTACCTGTGTGAGGTGAGGAAAGTGTTGCACATATACACATTGTCAATACTGGAGTGCTGAAGTTCCTCACATAGCACATCTCCCATGGTGCACTGCAGCAGCCGAGGCACTTCCTCATTGCGGTCTCCATCAAAGATACCGTAACATGCTTCCACACCGTCTCCAAACCGGTCCACAGTCAGCACAGACACACACAACCTGTCCCCAAAATGATATCCACTTTAACAAAGAGACCTTACATGCAGTAACACTGCTCCTCCAGGTCAAGGGGGGGACAGCTGATAAAGACGCTGCTGTCTGGGCAACATGTGGTGCCCATGATCCTGGATAAGGCCCCACTGCACCAACTACGCTTAATAAAGATCCATTGACTGTCTTGATGCCAGAGCTATGTAGGTGCCTGTCAATGATTCAGATACTGACTCAGTTGTAGACATCTGCTCTCTGTTACTATGGCAACATCCAGACAGATAGATAGACAGTAAATCAACACACAAAATCATTTTCAATCAATCAGAGTTAATTTATATTTGAAAAAAGAATCACAGGGTAAACCAGACCCTGTGTAGACAAGAAACACACTGAATAAATAGTTGTGTCTTAATTTAGGGAAAACAGATTTGTTTACATCTGTGTAGGCATTCAATTTACTTGTACACAACAATTACTTTATGTATTAAGCTCTATATGTTCACAAAAAAACAAACAGGGACCGAAAGCAGCGCTCACTTGTTTCTTTGGCCGCTCATTTCAGAGTAACCGTGGTTCCATGGAGTGGAGGAACTCAATGAGTCCCCTGCTGTTGTGGTGGATTTCTGGTCTAATTTCAGGGTTGTGATGTGACTGAAGAAGGAGAAGAAATACAGCAGAAGGATGAATGAATGTATGCATAACATCCGTACACGATACATGTTTCACGTCTAAGAATTACTCCATATACCCCAAGTTTGTCTCGAGATGACTACAAAACTACGATTAACACATTTTCTAAATTTTGTTAAGGGGGTCAGGGTTTTGTAACTCACCTGAAGAGGTTGAGGGTTTTGTGCTCCAACATCAGGCTGCTGTTGCCCGTCAGGTCCAGCTCTTGCAGAGTAGCAGGCAGCGAGTCAGGCAGCTGGATCTCAGTCAGCTCATTACAGCTCAGATCTACAAGCTGGAAATGTTTTAAAAATACACATGAGCTGAAACAGTCTAAAGGTGATCATACACAAAACAAGTCAGGCTGAAAAAAAACTGACCTTGATCTCCGGCAGGTTGAGGATCTCTGGGAAGACAGTAATGTGGTTGGAGTGTGCAACTAGGGTGTGCAGTTTCTTACAGCTGGACACAGTGGAGGGGATGGTCTTTAGCTGGTTGCCACTCAGATCTAGCTCCTCCAGCAGCTCCAGCTTACTCAACTTGCTAAAGACAGACAAACATGAAAGGGACAAACGCCAGTGAGTGGAACGAGTCAAAATACTTACATTATAATATCATTACCTTACTGGGTGCAACCACATGAAACTGTACATGGGCTTAATGTTCACTGGCAGGTAAGTGAATGAAGGCAGAAACACAAAACAGACAATCATTGATACCAAATAAGGGATCTAATGAAAAGAGATGATTAAAGGGACATTTATACCATGAACTTGAGAAAACAGTAAACAGACTAAAATGACAAAAAAGCCACTGTATCAACATTGCTAGTCATAGGACAAAAACTTGATTTAAAACTAACATGAGAGCAAAAGCAACCAACCTGGCAGGGAAGGAGAGCATTTGGTTGTAGGCGATGTGAAGGACCCGCAGGTTCTGGTGTCCAACCAGCAGAGCACCACAGTTCTCATTCAGGTTGTTCCCTGTCAGGTAGAGCTCCTGGAGCGTGCTGAGGCTCTCCTCTGATTGGCTGCTAGGAGGAATGCTTTCCAGGGCATTGGCTGACGCATTTAAGAATTTCAGGCTGTGAGGGAAGACAAATTAGAGAACATTAAAGAATAAAAAAAGATACAGTAGAAAACATCGCCAGGTTGTCATCCAAGACTGTATCCAACCGTTCCTGTCTCGTTTGGTTTTGGAGAAGTTAAAACTAAGAATTAGGGATCCCAAATTCTATTTTTTCAGTTGTCATCTAAGGGTCGCAAGAAGCAGTTCATTATGGGCCGAGGCAGGGTACCTCCTGGACAGATCGACAGTCTATCCCAGAGCTGACATATAGAGACAAACAATCATTGAATTTAGAGTCTCATGCATGTCTTTTGTCTGTGGTTGAAAACCCATGCAGACACGTGGAGAACATGTAAACTGTGGATTTAAAACATTTTAAGACAAGCAAATGTAGAACAGCGTAACATAAGTGGCATCAAGAAAAGCAATGGCAAACTCAAACGGTATACTGGAGAGGATACTACTCTTCTAAGTATGCACATAAACGTGCGTAGAGTACAGATGGTTAAGTTACTTGCCTGTGTGTTCACATACTGAACAACAATAAAACTTGTCCTTCGGGCCCATGAACAAGTGAACCTTATCACGCTGTTGTTTTAAAACAAAGTCGGGCATCCCAACATCGGTGCAATGATATCTCTGCAGCCTTCGAACATAACAAGACTTCACATCACCCTGTGTCTTCACAAATATGAATATGATAAACCTCACACTGTTTCCATCAGTCCTGAGTCTAACCCGCTCTCCCTGGTAAGCTGCACAGCTCTTGGAAAGGATATCAGGAAACCCATCATGCTCAAAACAGTTACTGCCATTACGTCTCTGCATTAGAGACAGTAAAGTACATTTGAGCTTCTGATCTGCTAATGGGTGTTAAGTGATTTACCGCACAGGAAATTGGAGCGCAAGTGAGGCTCCAGTTACGGTCTCGAATGCTCCGCTGATCTTGACCACAATCCCTATATAGTTAATATAACGTACATACATTGTATACTTCATTATTTTAGGGAGGAAATATACAATCTATATTTTATACTTTCAAAACAATCAGCTGCGATGACTATTCAGATATAACACAATAGTATAAATAGTATAAAAAAGAATTGAGGACAGAACGGAAAAGGAAACGCAAAGAGAAAAGGGAGAATGGGGGTTGGGAAACTCACTTTAAGGCTTTGTAAAAGAGACTCTCAGGGAGTTCAGCCAGCTTGTTGTGCTGGAGGTCCAGGGCTTCCAGAGGGACGTGGTCAAGTAGATCAGGCACTCTCTGCAAACGATTGTTCCCCGCCAGCAGCTTTCTCAAACTCAAGCTGTTGAGCAGTCTGTCAGAGGCCAGAAGAGACATTAGAGAGCATGAGTAGGACAAGAATAAAAGAACAGCCCCTCGAAAAAAGGCAAAGAACCAAAGTGTATATTCTCCCAGTGCAGACTGGACCACTGTGAAGCAGTGGATGTATTTTTCAGACATGGCAAGACAGGCTAACTAATCCATCAATGACCTTTACAGCTTGGCTATCTAAACAGACCAACACAGCAGCCTTTTATTCTCTCCTCAAACCATCTCAGAAGTCATGAAGTGGTACAGTGGAGAGAGGAATATTATCTCATTTGCAAGAGCTTTTCAGATGTCTCATTCAAATGCAAATGCCTCGGCTGAGAGCTGGCAGTGAGTGATGGCAACTCTGAGCCAAGCACTATAGCAGGCCACGTTTTACAGCTGCAACCAGAAGAGAGATATTGCGTCCACAAATTGACTGATTAGAGCTGTTGCTCTTTCAATGATTCCACTACCAAATCTTTAACAGGGCATCGTGAAAAGCGGTTTGGCATTAGCGTGAGATATTAAAAAGCACGGCCATGTGGACTGAGACTCCTGAGCTCCTATTTCTGCATGGTATAACCAGCTGTTTGGTACAAAGGGCTGAATGAATTCATATTACACAACATAAGAACTGAAGCAGAGCAGAGACGGTTCAGGACTAGTGAGAGAAACGGCCAATAACCTGGAAGGAAGCTCAGACAGGAGGTTGTGTGTGATGTCCAGCATCTCAATTTTCCTGCAGTCACACACCCAGTCCGGAAGGTACTCCAAAAGGTTCCTGTCTCAACACACACACGCACGCACACACATGCACGCACACACACGCACACACACATACAGATACACACACACAAACCTCAAACTGAGCAGAGTTGTCATTTTGCATTTAACTGTACAGATGAGCAAACCATGTTGATATAGTAATTAGGAGGCAAAACAAATTTTATTTTCAAGGTATACATTATTATAATATTGCATTATGTGATTCTGTATGTTCACAAAGACACCAGAGGTTGACTGGAAAAAAGAAATTCTTCAGATATTTTCTACACCTGGCATCTGGTTCAAAAACAGCTTAAGGCAAATATACACATAATGAGCCCTGACATACTGTAGCACTGTAACACTGTCTGCATACTAAACAGTAAACCTACAGTCGCCCAGCTTTGAATGCATATAGTAAAAAAAAGCAGCCTTTAATTCTGTGTATAAGGAAAACATCTATACCATGTGATGTGAAGTCAATCTATTCTCAATTAGAGAGGGGGGCTGAGGGTCATATCGATTCCCTCAAAAATATTTAAGTTGGCATGTATTGTAGACAGGATTTGACTTGTTCTTGTCCTTCAACATTACAAAAAAAAAACAAGAGAAGTTACAACAGTGTTGAGGCGTCACTTCTCAGAGTTTAACTATTAATTATCCAATTATCATCCAAATTTGGCTACACTATGTTTTAGCCACTGTGCCCGACTAATTCAAACTTCTTTTATTCTTCTTCTGTACAGAAAAATGATTATTCCCAACCAGAACTCACTGTGATAGCTCCAAGTGTGTCATCTGGTTAGGGACTGGATAGATGCTGACTGTAGTGAGGCCTGTGGACAGAACAAAAAGGGCGATCAGCGGCTCAACATCTGGACTATTCGTGTGTGTGTGTGTGTTTGTTTATGAGATGCACGAATCACTGGGGAGAAAGGCCTGACACAAAGTCAAACAGACAGTCGGGCTGTAACAGCAGCGAGTTGCCGCTCTTGTCTGACTCACGGTTGCTGCTGGCATGAAGCATGCGCAGTGTGAAACCGCTGAGCGTGAGTGTCGCCAGCTGGTTGCGTTGGCAGTGCAGAGTCTCCAGGTTGCAGATGGAGCTCAGGTCTAACGTGTCCAAGCAGTTGTCCCGTAAGTCCAGCTGTGTCACCTGGCTCACCGCATCTGGACTCTCACTTTTCACCCAGCGCAGCCCATTCAGCCTGGATTAACAGAGGAGAGTACAAGGGATTAAATGTTATTGGTTATTACCGCAGGAGCAGAGGGAAACGCCTTTGTGCAGAAAGTTAAGGTGACATCTAACAACAGTTTCAGTGCAGGAAGTCCACAACTTTAACCATCTATATATATGACTGGTAAGCAAATACTACTGTGGTTAATTTTACTATGATAAATGCACCTTATTCTAAAATTCCCAGGGTGAACATATGAGTAATATGCATTTCTAGTAACAGGGGACCATGTACAAGGATCAAATTAATTTCACTAATATACCGTGAAGCCATTTTTCATCTGCATATATCATCTTGTTTTCAGTACCCAGAAGCAATAACACACATTTATTTGCATAATTTTGCAAAATTACTGTCAGGGGCGAGTATAAAAAAACACTGTAATACTAGGGTTAATGTGAATTTTGAAAATATTTAGAATCAAACAATTACTCATTTAATGCTAATTAGACACATTACTCCCTCTGATATGAAAATGTATTTGTGGCATTAATGATTTTGTGTGTGTTTATTTTTTGTGCAAATTTGTTGACTCTTCCTGTTTCACTGGGGGAAGCTTCTTTTAACATTTCTGTTCAAATTTGACTTTTCATATTTGTCAGTCTACGTAAATCAGCTCTAACAAAGAGTGAGAGTTTATGACTGCCAGGAAAAGCACTGTGCTCCACTGTGGGATCCAGGCTCTCCTTGACCTCATTCATCTTGTTAATAAAAAACAACTTCTCTTTTTACGAGAGCTGCCAGCCCACTAATCCACCACAGACGCACCTTGCCCTCACAAATATCGCCAAACCACAACTCCACTCCTGGGGTTGAATTATTAGCTGGCTGTGGGTGGAGCAGCCGTAGTTGTTCTGATGTTCCTTCTAGTAAGAAAATCAATGGCCAGAGCTCATCCCTCCATCATTACCTACCGCAGAGGTTCCCTTGAGCAAGACACTTAGCCCCCAGCTGTTCCTGTGGAGCTGCTACCAAGCCAACAACTACATATGACTGTAGTTCTGGGCAGCTTCCGGGTGTGAGCATAGGTGTCAATCAAGGTAACATGGAAAAAGAAACCTTTGGGCTCAGCATCTACCAGCAAAGTAAAAACTTACAGGAGTGGTGGGGAACAGAGGGTCAGACATTTATCTTTCTCAAAGACATTAAAAGAGGAACTCAAAGAATGTAGTGATATCTAGAGGTGAAGTTTCATGTTGCAGCTGAATACTCCTCATCACACACTCCCCTTTCAAACAGAGAACCTGTGGTGAACTTCATTTGTCATGAAAACTCAAAAGGTTTTGTATTGTCCAGTTTGGACGACAGTAAAAAACATGGTGGCCTCCACAGAGAGGACCCCCCCCCTCCATGTTAATATAGAGTTTTTAAATATAAAGGGCCCATTCTATGGTAAATACAACAACAATTCATACAATTTAGATGAAACACACTAGTGAAAACATCACTAGGATTATTTTATATTCAATCTGCCAAAAAACCCTTTCACCTAAATCTTACACAATGAACCTTTAATAGATGGATGGTAGTGTAACTTATATATACCAAATGACTACAGCTAAGGTCTAAATCACAAATGTACCCTACATTATCCAGACAATGACATGGGAATGTTGAGAGAAAAGAAGAGACGGATGTGAGGAATAGAAAAGAGAAAGACAGAGAGACTATTAACTATGCAGAGGTTGGGAGCTCTGTGTTCCCTGGCCGGGCCTTACCGGAGGTCGATGTTTTTCAGGTGGCTCATTCTGGCCAAAGTGCACAACTGCAGAGTCTCCACTCTGTTCCCAGCCATGGCCAACTTGTCCACTGCACTCAGCCTCTCCAGCACAGCAGGGATGTGGGAGAAGTTGTTGAAGGAGAGGCCCAGGCTGTTGAGCTGGGACAGGCCACCCAGCTCCTCAGGCAGGGAGCTGAGGTGGTTTCCATCCAAAGACAGAGTCTGCAGGCTACAAGACAAAAGGTCAAAACAGTCATGTTTTAGTTACTTTTACTTTAGAGAGTGGCCAAAATATCCGCGTTGTGGATACAGTCATTATCTGAAGGGAAACAGCCGACATCAAGTGGACACACAGCATGAAAATTAGAGCGATTTAGCATCCTGACTTAATCTGATTGCATAACAACATTTTTTCTTTCACTGACTCCATAAAAAAATTAAGGACATAGAACATTTACAAAAAATTATATGAGAGAACTCATTAACAAAAGAAAATCCCAAAATATTCTCAAAATAGAAAATATTATATTTTAGAAAAAATATAGAAAAGACACAAATTTTGATTCTGAAGAGAATTTCATTCATCCTTAATTCTGACAGAACACAGATAAGATTAAATATTTTTTTTAAAAATGGGGCAACACTTGTGTTTTCTGTTTTGTTAATTTGTTTTCGTGGTTGTTTCTCTTATGTTGGTTTGCACTGGAAATACTGGATATTTGCAGAGTAAGCCATAATAAAGAAAAATATACATTTGTCAAATAGTCATTATTTAATAATGAAGAACATTCACATTTTTTCTTAATGCAACTGTGGGGAATCTATATGAATATATGGTTTAAATGTTTGTTTAATGTTTAAAACTTAACTCTCAGTATGTCTTTTTTTAAGGTGGCAACAATTGCAATTAATGCAGTTTCACTGTGTGTCTGTCTTTAGGATTCAACTCTTATGGCATCTATGGATCAGTTTTACTGTGAAGTGTGTACTCTTTGTAAATCTATATCCCAACTTATCTATTGTGCACTGTGTGAAATCTGAATTATGCACATAGTGACTGTGTCTCACTGTGTCGCACCTTTGAAGGTTGCCTATCTGTACTGGGACGACGTGGAGATTATTGCAGGAGAGGCTGAGCTCTGTCAGGGTGAGGATCTCACACACACATTCAGGGAACACACCCAGACGGTTGTGAGACAAGTTCAGGCTCTTCAGCTGGGAAAACCTACACAAAGACAGAACAGCATGGAGGACCATTTGCATTTGCAGGGTGACTGCAAAGAAATCTGCAAAACAAGCAACATCTCAACTCTTTTTGTTTTGTTGATTAAGATTAATGCCAACTTTATTTCCTAAAAATAACATAGTAGCTGAACATCAACATAGTGTAATGATTCTGGGAGGATTTCCCACTATCTAGAAACACTTTATTGTGATGTTACCGTCAAATAAAATGTGAATTTACAAAATGCAAAGTTCTTTCTTCATCCAAACAGCAATCAAAGGCTGCTGTCTTGACTGTGGGAGTCTTGTGCTGTTATTCGTGCTTCAGGCTTGCACCATGTTATTAAGACACTTAAAAAAAAGCAGCAGGCAAGAAATGACAGAGTTCACAATGGAAAAAGTATTAAAATCACCCCCACCTGTGCTTTAGTTTCACTAGGAAATGATTGTTCTATATTTAGACCAGCCAGTCGTACACTTTTACCTTTACCTCTTTTATGATTACCTCTAAGCTAACAAGAGGAGTACTCTACTGATGTGTGTTTGTTCGTTCATAAAATGTATTGTCACACCTGAGGTCTCAGCTGGCTGTTTCAAACAGAAACACAATCCGAGCATAGATTTAGATGTGTGTAACATGCAGAAAGCCGGGCCGGGATGAATGTGGTGCAGTGCGTGTGCACTAGTCAGTCAGATCATCCATATTTATACTAAATTATATTCCTCTCGTTATCTCAGGTGCTGTGAGTGGTGGAAGTGGCTGTCACGAATCACAGCACTTTTCAAAGAAAAGACCATTTCCTTTAATTCATGCTCCCTCTTACTAAATATGCAGACAATCAGGAGGGAGAAACAGAGGGGTGCAAGACAGTTAAGTGCAAATGTTCTCCTTAGCAAGCTGCGGGATAGGCCCAGGAATCATGTAATGTATTAAGCAATACAACACACACACGCACGCACGCCCGCATGCAGCTGGAGGAATACAATGGGGACTAGAGGGGTTGGAGATGATTAGCACTTAATCCATCTACTGATGAATCCTACTTTCCAATGCAGAACTGAACAGGAGGCTGAATTGTTGTGTGGAACCTGTTCTGTTTCCTCAAATGAGAAGAGATCATAAGCTGTGTGATGAGCCTGGTGGCTTGGTGTTACTTAAAGAGCCTTACAAAAATCATCCAACACTGAAACAGCTGAAAGCTGGTGATCATAACTGGAGAACTTGCTGTGATACAGCAGATTTTCTGGAGCACTCTTTAAGAGCTTGAGCGCATATGTTTACATTATCAGTGAGGGAAATGCAACAATAGACATGCTGGAGCCAAAATGACAGAGGTCTGGAGAAATTACAAAACATGGGATAATTCAGCACTGACTTAATGAACAAATGCAATAATAAATATCTGCATTCCTCAGGCAAAGTTTGACTGGTTTGATTGATGACAGCACAGTATCAGCTCCAGAACAGCACCTGAAAACACAAAAAAGGACACTCTCCTTGGTTCCATTATGTTTTAAAGTGTGATTACCTGGGGAGGTTGAGCAGCCCTCCAGGCCCCTGCAGGCTCATGAAGTTGTGGCGCAGGTTGAGGTGGGTGATGTCCTGACTGTAGAACAGATACTCAGGCACTGCTTCCAGACTGTAACAGGAAAGATCCACCATGCTGACTGTCTGAGACACCACCTACACACACACACACACACACACACACACACACACACAC